CGCCCAGCACCTGCTCGGCGAATGTCGGCGGCTCCGACAGCGGTGACAAGGAGCGCCTTGCTGCTGCTCCCTCGGTCCCCGCCGATCCCGTGTCACGGTACCTCCCCTCCGACTGGGCGAGTCCATCGCGGCCGGGCGCCGGCCCTGACCGCCGGGCGCTGGACCACGCCCACCACCTGCCCGAGGCGGCGCTGCGCGCTGCGTGCTGCGCTGCTCCAGCCGGCCGACCACCGCCAGCGGCCGGGCGGCCGGCACAGCGGCGGACTCAGCGCGGCCAATCTCCTGCGCCTGAGCCTCTGCTGCCTCGCTGGTGGAGGCCAGCGCCAGAGCTGACTCCAGGGTCAGGCTCGTCTGGCTGAGGAGCCTGGCTTGCAGTCTGGTGTCCCGAATGCCACACACCAGTCGGTCTCGGAGCATCTCCGGCAGGGTCTCGGACGGAAACTGACACGGCTTTGCCAACCTGCGTAGCCTGGCTGCGTACTCGGTGACCGATTCGTTCTCGTCTCTGCAGCACGAATGAAACCGGAACCGAGCGACGATCTCAGATGACTTCGGCTCAAAGTGACCTTGCAGCACAGTGACTAGCTGCTCGTACTCCAGGTCGCTGACCGTCTGCGGCGCTACCAGATCCTCCAGCAGTGCAAATGTCTTAGGTCCTACCACACTGAGCAGAGTCGCACGTCTCTTAGCTTGGCCAGAGACACCCGTAGCCACCAGGTACTGTTCCAGCCATCTGGCATATGTCCCAAACGACTCTTGACTGGGATCAAACTCCCTCACCAAACCACTCAGACTGGCCATGGCGCACGCCGCGCGGGTTCAGTCTCGTCGCCACTGTTATAACGTGAGGTGACGTCCGCCACACACGCTGGCTCGATCCAAACTGGTGTATTTGGCCCAGACCATCTCGGCCGGTCACCGCACAGCCGCAGGCGACCAATCCCCGTCCGTCCCGCACCGGTGACGTCATAGGTCATCATATGACGTCACCGGTGACGTCATCTCACATCCTAACAGAAGCTACACACACGGTGTTGCTACAGAAACTGTTTAAAGTGTTAGAAACTTCCTGTCTTGCTGGGAGGTGCAGTCCGGACTCTGGCGAAGAACCTACGCACATAAGCTCCTGTTAATAGCACAGCGTAACTTCTTACTGGGTTCATCTTGCTATGGTGCTGTTCTGCTCGCAATCCCCGCACAGGTTTGCATTTCGGCCGTTCAGGTGTCACCGCTAGACGCTAGGGCAGAAGCCGCACGGTCTCAGAAGTACGGAATATAAGGAAGCGAGTGTGGACTTCGCTGTAACTTTTTTGAAAATGTAAGAAAGCGGCGCTTCACCACTCACCGAGCTACCTCCCAAGACGATCAGCGGCTCAGCGTCTATTCCGTCTACACGGCGGCATAGGAGCGGTCCGTAAACGTAAGGGGGCGGGGGTAGCTGGGTCAGTCGTCGGGCGAGCAGCAGACGCGGCGGTATCTGAAACCGCCTCACACGTCGACTAAATGTTCCAACGTTTGAAAGAAGTTGGCGATTGGCGACTACTGTTGCATTGGGCTAGTGATGCTACAAATATTTGGCTGGCAAATGCTGTCCCTGAAATATGTTATGTGCGTGAGGGTGAATAAATGCACCAATCGTCCGATGATTATATGGGTCTGGGACAACAAATATAGTAATTAAATCATGGTACACCTCCCACATTCGGATATAAAGCACAAGTACGAACTAACTAAGAGTTTAATCGCCATGCATCGCGTGACGAGTATCCACCGTCAAACACGTTACCTGAGAAGCGGATCTAAGCGTAATGTGTGTGTGTGTGTGGGGGGGGGGGGAGGCACATTCTAATAATTTGCAAAGCCGGATCCACGGACTGGCGATGGATGATGACCGGCAGCTAACGTTTATGAACGGGAATGGCGGCCGATGATAGTCACTTGACGGACGTTGTTAATCGGGCAGGTCGGTTGGAAACAATAAATACCCAAGCCTAATGCCTAATACCAAAGTTTTTAGGGGTGGTGGTGTTGGAGGGGGAATCATGTTTAAAAGTTAAGCAAGCATGTGCCTTAACCTTAACCCGCGCCCTGCTGGGGGGGGGGGGGGGTGTTTGAACACCCCCCCTTGTGGTTTTTCGCGAATATCTAAAAAACGGCGGCGGGAGTGCCGCCGTTTTTGGTACACCTTATCATACATCAATTCTACACATGTTGTGAAAATTTCAGACCAAGGTCATTCAAGGTCAGGTCACCAGGTCACTTGAAGTGACCTCACCTCATAAAAAGTTTCAATGTCTGTCATAGCTACACCGAGTGACCGATCGCTTCGAAACTTTCAGCGATTGCTAAGAGTAATAGCATGTACAAAATGTATATCTCAGAATTTTGATATCGATGACCTAAGGTCAGGTCAATTTTGCGACGACATTATAAGTCAATGGGAGAAAATTGAAATGCGCCTCTTTTGGACAAAAGACATTATAAACACTCCCAAACACCGAATTACAAGTGGTTTAGACACACTGAACATGAAAATGGTGTCCGTGACCCTTGTTTGTACCCTGAGGTCATCTTAGGTCACGAATGGCATCTAACGGTTTTTCGCAAATAACTTTTGATAGAGGCATGCTAGAGCGATGAAAACGCCTTATATGTGTTCAGCTCGACGATACGGATCGACTGATATGCAATATGACCCTTTCCGGTCAGGTCATGACCTTGACCGGAGGTCAAATTTTCAAGTTGACCTTTCAAGGTCAAGTTATAGTTCATTCGATGCGTCTTGACGAGAGGAACACGATGCCGGTAAAGGTAAGCTCGTACAAGGCTTGGGTCAAAAGTTATTGCAGAAAAACTGTTTCCGAAAAAAATCGGCTATTTTTGCAGTTTTTGCCCCCTGCAGGCAAAACCGTTGACGTTAGGTCAAATCTGAGAGGATTACTCAGAAAGGACGTTAATAGGGCTATCGAATGCACTTTTCTGCGGCGCTGTATCTCTATTGGTTCCCGAGTTATACGTGGGCTTCTTGGAAATTTTCGACATTCGACCTGGAAATCGGTGAAATTTTGCCTTCAATGACCTCTGGTGACCTGACCTTTGACCTGACCAAAAAATTGACCGAAGTGATTTCGTCATTATTTTTTACTCTCTTTCGAACGCTGCCTTCCGCGTATCGCTACGTGGCCCAGGAGCCGAGTTACAAGGGGGGGGGGGGTCAAACACCCCCCCCGCCAGCAGGGCGTGGAAATCCAGGACCCCCAGCCGGGCGCGGGTTAAGACTCCTATCGGATCTGCCACCACATTGCCTCAACATTACACCTGTGTCAAAGCTCAATATGTCTATTTTGTGGTGTTATCTTCCTACTTCCAAATGCATGCGCCTAAAACCATGTCAATTTGGGAAATTTATGCTCCAAAAAAGTACAAAATATTCAACGAAAACCCTTTCATGTGGTTTCAGGTTACTCCCTGGCATAAAATACCACTTACCAAAGACATTTATATCACGAAAATAAAAGAATAAACAGGCCGTATCAGGAGACTTCAACGCCAGAAACTGATTTTGCTCGAAACTTTGACATGACGCGGCAGGATGGGTTTAATTTCTCAAAAGTTTTACTTGTACAGCTGGTCTTCGGTTTTACTGTATGCCTGGCCTATTCAAATACATTAGCCTGAGGGGTGTGGTAATAACTGGTGTAAGCAAAGTGACCACGGTCAAAAACGAATTACCAAGTCAACATTTTGGGATGGCCTCGTTCAAAAAATGGCTAGGAGCTTCGGTCTAGACAATTATTTTATCGTTGGCATACAGTAAAATACATACCAAACTCGGCCGGTGATAAATTTTCAAGACCTCAGTCCTTACTGATTTTTGAACTCGGCCTTCGGCCTCGTTCAAAAATTCAGTAAGGACCTCGGTCTTGAAAATTTATTTACACCGGCCTCGTTCAGTATTGTATATGTCTTGGAGCAAAGGAAAATCATAGGAGCACCGTGATCTGTGACTAGCGACACACCAATACACACTCTTTCAATGGAGATTTTGAATGACGATGATGTGATTGTGCGATGTCTTTGGGTAACGTGATCGCCAAGAGGGGTGTTTTTTACCTTGTTCCTAGCGTCACGAAAGTGTTCATTGAATATGTCACGGATGCGTCTTTTTGTTTCGCCAATGTAAATCACATTTTTATTGTCACAAAAATTATATTGAACATTCAGATGGGTACCTAATTTAACGTAAATTCAACCCAAATTTAATTTTCCGAACTGTTCTGCATCGTGAATTTTGCCGTGCATGGCTTAAATTATTAATGAGGTTCAACACTTCGTAATTCAAATAATTATAAATTTGAATTTGATTCACCACTGTTCTATGATCCATTCAATATTCTTCATGGCTATATCACTTTGAAGTTTCATTACCAAAGCCTTTTTGAGCCACAAGTAGGACGAACTTTGGTTCATTAAAAAAAATAAATAAAAATAAAATTGCTTGAAAAATGTTAGGTCGAAAAAAAGCACACAAATACAGCCATAAACACTTTTGCGTAATTATCGAAACTTGCGCGCAATGTCTGTAGCACATTGGTTCACCATAACTTGAAGCGACTTGTGGTTCGCTACATTCCCACAAGGTGGCTTTGTGTTGTATATGACGTCACTACCGTAAATTACGTCATCATTTTGAAAACAGTTTTTCATCATTTTCATTAAAATTCGGCCAATTAATGGCATGTAGCTACCCATTGAGGTATTATCAGCCATTTTCAAGTATTTTGGAACCATCCACTCCCCTTTTTCAAGGTGAACACATCCCTTTAAGCCAATGGGCATATAGGGAAAGTATTCGAGTAGGCCGACGAAAGTAGCGACTGGCACTCGGATCGAATTTTGGGGGTTATATTTTAATGACAGACGAGGCATTATACAAGTATGGTGACCGGCGCGGGAGCCCGTCGGTGGCCTCTATCGTGACCTCTATCGTGCGTGCGCAGGTCGCCACGGCCGGGCGCTGCTGGAGCACGCCACTGCCAACACGATCCCGCCAGTGGGGCGCACCTGCATCACGCACTGCCTCACGCCGGCCGGACGGGTGATGGCCGAGCTCACGCTGACCACGCTGGACGACCATCGCTTCCTCATCGTCACCGGCGCCGGCAGCGAGCTCCACGACCTCAGGTCAGTCGCCGGCAGGCTCCCGACCTCAGGTCAGTCGCCGGCAGGCCCTCGACCTCAGGTCAGTCGCCGGCAGGCCCTCGACCTCAGGTCAGTCGCCGGCAGGCCCTCGACCTCAGGTCAGTCGCCGGCAGGCCCTCGACCTCAGGTCAGTCGCCGGCAGGCCCTCGACCTCAGGTCAGTCGCCGGCAGGCCCTCGACCTCAGGTCAGTCGCCGGCAGGCCCTCGACCTCAGGTCAGTCGCCGGCAGCTGCTCCCTGGGTCAGTGGCGGCGGACAGCTGGGTGGGTGGCTAGGCTACTCCATAAGATTGATCCATTCATCTTTCCCGTACGTCATACACAGGGGAGGAGTATTAGGGGTTTTGGGGTGCTCGAACACCTCCTGAGCAATAAAAGTGCAGCCCCTTTCTGCCAAAAGCACCTTCTGGGATAATGGGATATGCAAGTCTACACAAAAATAATATTGCACATTCTAAGCTTAATTAAAATATATAAAGAGCATGTCATTTTTAATCAGTAGGAAACATGAACTGTGTGAAGCATTATAAGCACGCACCCGCTGATTATCACAGTTATAATATGCATGATGATTCAACCCTCGCCCTGGCAGGGCATTTTTCATACCACGGCCTGGCAAGGGGGGGGGGGTCGATGCGACCCCCCTCGCGATTGGCTCCTATGGCACCTAGAAACACCAAATTTGGTAGGTGTACCCCCTGGATTTCTCGCCCCTGTGCAAATTTGGTTGCTCTCGGTCAATATTTAGGGAGTTTTTTTTTGGGGGGGGAGGGTATTAATGTAACAATTTCGCTAAAAACAGGTCAAAAGTTTTTCGCTTATAACGTTTGATCTAATTAAGATGAGCAAAAAAAGTTTAATTGTTTTTTGAATGACCTCCTTACAAAATTATACTTTTCATTCATGTATTTTTGTTTTAGATGAATTTTCGGCCACGGGCCATGATCACATCAATGCCAAATATAAGAATATTGGAAGACAAAATACAAATTAGGTACAAGTCGAATCATCGTCACTTTCTATCTTTCTACTTTTCGCGTGATAAGAATGACAGGCACTTTCACACTTGGTAATGGGTACACTCAAGGCACTCAAGTAATGGTTACATTCGCACATACGAGTATCTGCATGGAAACATGAAAAAAACACACTTTACCTCATCCTATCACTATAAAGGTAATGACGTGAGCAAAAAAAGCACCATTGAACTCAGCACGTCAAAGCGCGTCGAATGATATACTTTTTTTGCATGTTTAAGTGTATGTACTTAAAAGTTAAGCACATCTTAAGTACAACTTTAGTCTTAACCTTCCAGGCGGTGGGGGGGGGGGGCCTCAGTATATACATTTGTCTCTTGCTGCTCAAATTAGTGTATGTTGTATAAGGTTAAGAGCACAGACTGATAATTTTCTGCCAGGCTACCTTGCGGTCAGCTACATATTTATGTTCAGTCGGTCAAATGTTCATTCAGTCATTCATGTTCATTCAGTCAAATTTTCCGGTCAGGTATTCAATCTTAACTAATTGCATATTATCTTTCAGGTTTTCATTCTGAGAGTACAGAGTATTTATCTAAACGCTAGAAAGACGATGATGTGTAAGCCGTAATGTCAATATCGGAAACGCCTTTGGTAAAAACTTTTGCACAGAAATTTTTTTTGATAAAAATTCGTCCATTTTTGGAGGACTGAGACATCGAGTTAAGGTCAAACTGGAGAAAACAGCTACGAGCCAAAAATGGCCAAAAATTGGCCTGACCTAAAAATGGCTTAGCTATTTATTTTAGATTTGGCATCCTTTCGAACATTGCCAAAGCATTACTCGAGTAAAATTTTATCATTTTGACGACCTTTCGAACACCGCATGGCCCAGAAGTCAAGCTGGAAGGGGAGATCGAACAACACCTAATCCGGCTCTTGTTACGGCCGGGCAACCGCCCGGACGTGGAGAAATAAACCATTAAGTTATTCCCTGGCATTACAGTGTAGGTTGAGCTGTCCCTGTATATTGAGAGTCGATACACGAAGTGCTTATGACGAGGACCTAACCATTTGCTATATACTTCTGCTTAAAGGTAGTGTGCCAGCTTTCCTGGACCATATGGAGTTAATGACCCGGATAAGGAGAACCGGATTTTGAGAACTTATCCATACCTTCAAAGCTCATGGAAACGTCTTAAATTTTTTTTCTTCAAATTTTGAGTACCCCAGTGCGAAATTTGCCCCGACGGGTTGTCGGTCGTACCCCAACCACATTTCACACCACTACGAACAATAAATGCACACACTAAAATCGCTATTACCGATAGGCTCATCCAATCAAGTTTCGATAAACCCGTTCATCATCATCTCCTGCGGTTTCGAACACGCCTGTTAGGTGGCTTCTGCTCATACTTTGTGGTGCGGTGGTGGTGCGTCGGGCCGCGCACTCTGACTTCGGCCAAGAAAAATGCGTCAGCTGATCATTGTCATTTCTGCCACTTTCGTGCGGTGAGATGGGTTCATAACTTAAGAGACGGCTGTTTAATATCAATTATTTTACATAAAATCATATTTCAACCATAAATTAATGTTCGACAGCCAAAATAACTCTCGCATGTGTAGGGGGGGGGGGTCGGATGGACCCCCCAGGGGTGTCGATTTGTGAAAATGGTTGGGGGTGCCCAGAGCTTTAATCCTCGCCCGTATACATTGGGGGGGGGGGGTCCGTTCGACCCCCCCTCGTTTTTTCGCGAATAACTCGCGTAAAAAGCGGCCGATCACGACGAAACTTTCAGGAGTACCCTCGCGTTGATCAATTTTAAACCTGTCCTTGAAATTTCATGACCCTAACCCAAATGACCTTTGACCTGTGAACTACTTTTCGAGACCATGTTTGGCCGGAATCGCGATTTTGCGTATGTTGGCTCGCATTAGCCGCGCGTTTGCAGTCTTTTCGTGGTTTCAAGCGTTCAAACATGTGATATGATGTTGCTCCCATGCATAAGGGTGGGTGTCAATGTCACCTGAAGGTCAGGTCAGGACATTGACCTTTGGGGCCCTCGGTTCATTTTTTTTCGAGTTTTTCATGTTTCTAGGCTAGTTTTTGGAGCTGAATTCGAATTTAGCAAACATATAAACATTTACGAAGTAGTTTTGGTGCCTTCATAACATGCTACGAAGCTGTCAGAGGCGGTTGACACCTACTACGAATACCCGGCAGGACCCCTACTGGTTGACCTGACCCGTCCTGACCCCACCTGGCCTAAATGCATGACAACATCATCTGTGATCAAAACTAACATAATGTTCGTGATCTGCACCCCGAAAAAAACCATACCTAGCAGCCACACTTTACGACGTCTTTAAGACGGAGACGGAGCAGTTTTACCCGCGCTGGGCCGGTGCTCAGCGCCTTCCGCGCCGGGCCGGGGGTGTGTGTCTGAACACCCCCGTCTAACTCGGCTCCTGGGCCACTTAGCGACATGCGGTAGGCGGCATTGGAAAGACAGTTAAAATGAACAGAATACTTGGTCTTCATAAGGTCATGTCAAAGCTCAGGTGGCCAGAGGTCATAAAAGGTCAAGTTTGGATTGTTTGAACAATTTTCGAAAACCTGGCGCATAATTTGGGAACTTATAGAGCTGCAGCGCCGCGGAAAAGCGCATTCGATAGCTCTTTCAGCGCTCTTTGGCCAAAGCAGTCTTCAGATTTGACCTCAGGTCAAAGGCTTAGCATACACTCTCCAGAGGGCAAAAACTCTAATAATAGCCACTCATGAAGTTTTTTTTTCTGCCATAGCTTTTTACTCGAGAAAGTCATGACATTATTTTGCTAGCCATCATGATCTTCTTATCAAGACCCGACGAATAAACTATAGTTTGACCTTGAAAGTTCATTTTGAAATTTGACCCCGGGTCCGAGGTCAAGACCTGACCGGAAAAGGTTATGTTGCATGTCAGTGGATCCGTTCAGTCAATTATCGCTCTAGCTTGCGCCTACCAGAAGTTATTAACGAAAAACTGTTAGGCTCCCTTTTGTGACCTGAGATGACTTCAGGGATACTAGGAAGGGTCACGTCATTTTCACGTCGGGTGTCATTTTCCAGTTCAGTGTGTCATGTTGAATTGTTAATAGGTGTTTGGATGTGTTCAGAATGGTGTCGGCACACCAAATAGAAAGCAGCCTAGGGTACCCTCAAATCTAGTTTTCTCGCCGGTTTTAGGCCATTTATTTTTCACCCTTGGCTTTTTCATAAAAAAGAAAACATTTGCAAAAACGTGCTATGTTCCGTCTTAAAGCTGTGGGGGCACCGCTCTCACGGCTCCAGAGTTGGGGGGGGGGCAAACTGTCCCTACTGCCCCCCCCCCCTCGGTTTCCGCGCTTATGAATCAGAGAAAACAATGCGTTCAAAGAACCATAACAGTGATGCCAGTACTAACTTTGGTTGTGGGTGCCCAGAGCCCCTTGGGGGGTGCCCAACTCAGCATTGGGGGTGCCCGGGCACACCCAAAAGTAAACAAATCGACACCTATGGACTTCCCCCCCATGGTTTTTCGCAAATAACTCGCGTAAAAAGCGGCCGATCGCGACGAAACTTTCAGTACCCTCGCATTGATCAATTTTACACCTACCCTGAAAATTTCATGACCCTGACCCAAATGACCTTTGACCTGTGACCTCTTTTCCGAGACCATGTTTGGCCGGAATCGCGATTCCGCATATGTCGGCTCGCACGTATGCAAGCTTTTCGTGGTATCAAACGTTCAAACATGTGATTTGATGTTGCTCCCATGCATTAGGGTGGGTGCCAAGGTCACCTGAAGGTCAGGTCAGGTCATTAACCTTTGGTGACCTGGGGTTACCTCGGTTCACTTTTTCGAGTTTTACATGTTTCTGGCTAGTTTTTGGAGTTGAGCTCGAATTTAGCAACCATTTGAACATTTACGAAGTAGTTTTGGTGCCTTCGTAATATGTTACGAAGCTGTCAGAGGCGGTTGACACGT